ATCTACTCTCATACCAGGGCATGAGAAGGTCGACATTTTATGTTATCAAATCATCTAAGGCAACTCTCTTTAATCTTATCTGCAATTGGAGGTATTTCAATCTTAACATGTATATCCGTGCTTCGCATTCTGCCTCTAATTTATATCAAGATATAGATAAAAAAAATCTATTTCACTAAAAATAAGTTAATTCAATGACAAATTTTTTCATAAAAACAAATATTGAAAGTAGATTAGTCTGTTTTATTATCCATATTAAGGCTTCGTTATGGACAGTTTTTTGCTATTTTCTGGAATAATTTTTTAGTGCAAAAATTTCTTGAATTAAAAAATTTGTACTAAAAAACTATTTTAAAAAATAATAAAAAAAACTATCCCAAATGAAGCCTAAAAGAGACGCGCTTGCTTTATGACATCGTAGTGTAGGTTTCTACTACATAAACAAATAAAAAGCCCCAATTTTATGTAAAACCATTTGAGATAACAAACCTCGACTAAAGATTCAGAATTTTCATTTAGGGTTCGTTTGGGATAGCTTTCTAACTATTTTTTAAAGCAGTCTTTTAATAAAAAAAAAATTTAATTAAAAAATTAATTTAAAAAAAGTAAGAAAGGAATCCCAAATGAGTGATATTTAAATTTACTCAAACATCAGACAATTATTAGAAGAATGATGCTGTTGTTTTTGGTTAGCTATAGCTTACTAAAATACCTTATCTTTTTTTTTTTTTCTTTTTTTTTTTTTTGGAAAATTTGGGCCTAAGCCCCTATATTAAAATAAGAGGAACAATTACAAGTAAAAAGATTACAAGTAAAGACTACCATACATAAGCCAAAAAACAAAAAACTTATGTAGGTCTGAGATAAAAACCCCAACTATACCACCCAAAATACACTAAAAAAAGTGGTAAAAGGAGAACTTGATCACAGCAACTGAATCTCCCCACAGAGAAGCCCCGATAGCATCAAAAAGTGCTGCAGCAAAATTGAAGGACCGGTAAAAGAAAACAAAACAGTCTTCCAGCATATGTAAGAAATCAGCATAATGGAGCAAGCAGCCCAAGCTCCAAAACCAGTGTAGTCGAGGACTCAGAGAAAAAAATTTGGCTGAGAAAAAGCATTCCCCTGGTTGCCAAGAGGCCGTCCAAGGGGAAGGAAGAACATATTCAAAATACGGAGCATCATCATCGTCCTGGCTACAAAAAACACCCAGCCAACCATCCAGTCTAACCAGTCCAGCACAGCTTCAATAAGGAAAAAACCAGTTTCACTAACAGTTATTGCCCACAACCAGCTCTCTGTCTTTCCATTTCGCAATTTTAATATTAATCACCCTTTTAATAACAGCTTTAAGGGAATTAATACTATTATATTCATTAGCAAATCTCCTGCTATTACGTTCTCTCCAAATATGATAAAGAGTGCAGCATACAACCAGCTTACAAAACTGCTTTTAAAGAGAAGTACCCACAAAATCCGAATCCAGCCATTGCAAAAGATGAAGAACAGTGGGCCTTAACAGAAATTCTCTAGTGGCAGGTAGGAGAGACTCTAGCACAACAAACCCGTATGAACATTCAAAAAATAAGTGATTAACAGATTCCGGCTCATTGTGACATAAAGAACAAATCTCAGGCACATAGATGTTGCGCATTCTCAATGCATCTTGAGTTTTTAAGCCACCTCTTGTCTTTTGCATTCTATACTGTGATGCCTAATCTCCGTCCCTCCACATGCCAGATGGTATCCTATGATAGCTCAGTTGCAGCACCTTCAGTTCTAAGCTATTTTTGGTGAAAAGGAAGGCGGATCATGACTTAGCAAATAAAACAAAAAGTAGCTATTCTCTTCTAAGAAGAGCCAAATCCGGAGAAATTTTTTTTTTTTTT